CTGGAGTAAAGCCATTGTTTATTAATACCTTGGAAGACAAGAGACAGAGATGAAGTCACTTGATACAGAATTAAGTCAATTGTCTACTTCATGGTTGTCCAACCTTTTGGGTTGCCTGGCCTGCACTGAGTGAAGAGGAAGTGTCTTGGATGACATATAAAATATATAGTATAGTTAATGTATATAAAACACATAATAATATTAAAGGTTTACGATCCCGTGGGGCCGCCTAGGGCCATATGCAGTCCATGGACTGCAGGTTGGATAGGACTGGTCTACGAACTGAAGAAGCTTCTTGGATGAGAAGCGAAATCTTTTCAAGGAAAAAAACCCCCAAGAAAGTCCAGTTGCCTTTTGGAAAAGCAGCTTTGGGACAACCTGGATGATTGAGAATCTCCCTAGACACTGGTCTACCTAGTTGATCTGTACGTAGCTCAGTCTGTTGATTCAGACAAACTAAGACTTTTTCTTCAGTCCTGTCACTTGTGATCATTTGAGCAGCAATACTAAATTAAGTCAGATAGACAAGTGACTTGTTTAAATTATCGTCATCAGCCAGTATGTTATTTTCAGTTACATGAGAAATCTCTTTTGTCCGCAAAGAGATAAAACAGTCTGTTTCTGCGTCTCGTGCTTTGCGTCCTGGAACTGAGAATACATTTTCACTCTTCATTTATTAGACATATTATCTCTTTCTTTTCCTCATATAAGCTCCAGCTGAGGTTGGCTATTTACAGTTTATTCATTCAAAAAGAAACTGGGAACCATTTTGCTACAAGTTTTCAAACTGGGTGCAGTTAGCGTTAACGTTTTCCTATGCTGCAGAACCCCAATGATTTATCTCTCCGCCAAACATTAAGCAATGCAAAAAAATCATTCCACAAGATCAGAAAGATCAGTATCAATTGCGATACATTAGGACTGCTTCGCATTTTCAAAGTATACTTTTAACTCACAAGTTCCTGTTATTCAAAAATGCATCTTTAAATATACATAAAGTATAATGAGAGCTGAAATTACTTACAGATAGTGTCCTCTGATAGTAAACAACCTTTGCACGGACGGGATACGGCTTGTTACGAAAATCTCTTTGACATGATGCCAATGCTTGTGTGGAACCATCACTTTAAAATAGAAGCATCTTATCAATACAAATTTAACAGTCAGGATAATCCACAGGTGAAAATTAAACTCATATGAATGACACAAGGTCATTCTAAATAAAACAAAATAGAAGCAGTCCTTGACTTACGACCATAACTGAGACCAGAATTTCCATTTCCTTTTTGCCATGTTTTTTAAGTGAATCATTGCAGCTGTTAAGTGTATCACACGGTCATTAAATGAATCTGCTCCCCCCCCCTCCCCGGCTGACTTTGCTTGTCAGGAGCCTGATAAGGTCCCAAATGGTCATCACATGACTCTGTGACATTGTAATCGTTGTAAAACATGCCAATTGTCAAGCACCTGCATTTTGATCATGTGACCCTAGGAATGCTGTGACGGTCATAAATGTGAGGACTGCTCATAAATGTGAGGACTGCTTTTCAGGGTTGTTTTTTTTGGTTGTAACTTTGAACAGACACTTAATGAATGGTTGAGGACCACTTGTATTCAGTGAAGAAAAACTATACAGTCTCATGCTGGCTGAGGAATTCTGGGAGTTGAAGTCCACAAGTCATAAAGTGACCCAGGTTGGGGACCCCCGTTCTAGAGTGCAGGAGGTCCTGCATGCTGTTTTGTTTTTAGAATGGTCTCCCTTATTCCACTCACATGTACTTTTCTACTTGTACTTTTTAAAATAATGACTTTATTACTGTACACCACTGAGAGCTGTCATGGAGATGAGATGTTCATAACTTAAGAAAAATAAATAAATGAAGCAGTACTAATAGTTATGTTCCTGTGCACTCTACTTTATAACTTTCCAATTTTCCAGTCCTTGGAGCCCAAGATATTTACTCTATCAAATTATATATATATATAATCAGATCAGATCAAATTCAACCTACTTTTGATGGTCATAATGAAGCTTGCCATTATTGCCGACAATAATCACTGCGGGGTTGTTTTTCTGCGAGGGAAGGAAATAA